GCCATTGCTAGTAGGTTGGAGGCCATTGCTAGTCGGTTGGAGGCCATGGTAGTAGGTTGGCGGCCATTGGTAGTAGGTTGGCGGCCATTGCTAGTAGGTTGGCGGCGATTGCTAGTAGGTTGGCGGCCATTGCTAGCTGGTAGGTTGGCAGCCAATGCTAGTAGGTTGGCGGCCATTGCTTGTAGGTTGGAGGCCCTTGCTAGTCGGTTGGAGGCCATTGCTTGTAGGTTTGAGGCGATTGCTAGTAGGTTGGAGGCCATTTCTATTACGTTGGAGGCCATCGCTAGTAGGTTGGAGGGCATTGGAATAGGTTGGCGGCCATTGCTAGTAGGTTGGAGGCCATTGCTAGTCGGTTGGAGGCCATGGTAGTAGGTTGGCGGCCATTGGTAGTCGGTTGGCGGCCATTGCTAGTAGGTTGGCGGCGATTGCTAGTAGGTTGGCGGCCATTGCTAGCTAGTAGGTTGGCAGCCAATGCTAGTAGGTTGGCGGCCATTGCTTGTAGGTTGGAGGCCATTGCTAGTCGGTTGGAGGGCATTGCTTGTAGGTTGGAGGCGATTGCTAGTAGGTTGCTGGTCGGTTGGAGGCCATTGCTAGGTTGGAAGCCAGGTTGGAGGCCATCGCTAGGAGGTTGGAGGCCATCGCTAGGAGGTTGGAGGCCATCGGTAGGAGGTTGGTTGGAGGCCATCGCTAGGAGGTTGGCGGCCATTGCTAGTAGGTTGGAGGCAGGTTGGCGGCCGTTGCTAGTAGGTTGGAGGCCATCGCTAGGAGGTTGGTTGGAGGCGATCGCTAGGAGGTTGGAGGCCATCGCTAGGAGGTTGGAGGCCATCGCTAGGAGGTTGGCGGCCATCGCTAGGAGGTTGGAGGCCATCGCTAGGAGGTTGGCGGCCATCGCTAGGAGGTTGGTGGCCATTGCTAGTAGGTTGGAGGCCATCGCTAGGAGGTTGGAGGCTATCGCTAGGAGGTTGGAGGCCATCGCTAGGAGGTTGGAGGCCATCGTAGGAGGTTGGAGG